TCCATATGAGAATCACATTGCTGTTAACAGTTTCCCAATGATAAGGAATACATTCTTGTTTAGTGAATTAATAAATCATAAGATTTTTTTCTCCAGATGGCTTATGGAAAAGAAACTGAATGCAACAAAAAATAAGAGAAATGAAGACTGTATAAATAGAGTTAATTCACTTGTAATAAATTAATATCCAGCACTAGAACTGAGCTGAAAAGGTACTTTCATCACTGAAATCCTCTTTTGCAAGAAACCACCAAAGTAATTTGCAGCAACATCAGCTGAGTTTGTGTAACCAGGGTGTTATTTATATCAAGGACATTTGCATGAAATGGATGAATTATAGTTTTATTTAAAAAAAATAAAAGGAAAGTACAATTACAAAATTATTTAAAATGGATTCACATTTATACCTGGGAGTAGGAACTTAATGAAGGATATTTCCAGATCTGTCTTTGGTGGCTAACTGTTTAAAAGGGAATGATATACTGTGTTTACATCTAATGGAAGCAGTCCCACGTGGTTAAGGGCAGATGTGCAGTACCCAACCAGGAATGTAGTATGGATGGGTAAGGTTTGAAGGATGTGTTACAGGAGATACATAGCCCATGGTGGCCTCCATGCTTTTCTGTTCTTGATAATTTGCAGTTGTTCTAACTTCCAGTGCAGTGAATATTTAGAGTTTTCAAGTGAAACTCACTTCAGAAGAATGTTTGTGTTTCTCTTGAACTTATTCTGTGATTGGAAAGCCTAGTGCCTTGAGACATGATTTGGAGACATGATTTGAATGCTGGATTACAGATTAACACTCTTAGAGGTTTTTCCTACCTCCAAAACTACCAAGACCCCTGTCAAAAATTAGTAGCTGGGTTCTCAGAATCCCCATTCAAAACCTACCCTGCCTGGGAACCATCACAATCATCTGGATTTGAAGAGCTTAGTGATTCTCTGCCTGAAATTAGTGTGAGTACAAGGAAAATGCCTGCAGCTTTTGTTGCACTGAATCTACTGAAACATTTAGAGTAGCTTTGGCTTACAACCTGTTCAAATTCCCATTTCCTTGCAATACTAGCAGTGATCACAGGCTGTGCAGGTGACATGGCTGTGGGGAGAGGGTGGATGTACCCATTCAAGGCATTCCAGATACCAGTGCTGAGGCTCCAATTGCATAGCTGGGAACAAGAAATTCAGAGTGCTGGTAGCATCTGGACAGCAGAGTTTATGTGAGCAGCTGGTGCTTCTGTAACATTCTGTGCCTTTTGGCATTGTCAGCACCTCTCCTTACTGCTGAAAGGAACACACACTGCAGTAGCCCTGCAATTCCACTGCTCCATGTAATATTCTACATGGACTCTGCCATGTGGCAAAGCAAATAGAGAGTTACTGACAGGAGATATCCTGATATAGCAGATATAGCAGAGTCCCACTGGACCATAAACAAGGTCAGACTGAACAAACTTACAGTCTCCCACATGGCTCATACGCTGCCAGGAGAAGTTTGGCACTCGGGTCTGCTGGGGCACAGCTAGGCTGCCTTCCAGGGACCCAGCCCTGTGGGTCTATCTTCCCTCACAGGGGTCCTCACCTGAGTTAAACTCTCTCTTGATAAGTTCTTTTCCTCAAACTTCCCATAAGTGTGTCAGGTCATGGCTCACAGACCTACAGCAGGCCATTTATGTTGGATGCTTATGATAGGTGGTCATGCTTTATTGTAAACTGTATTATCCTCTTCTGCTGACTGTCACTACAGGAAGTCAGGTGAATTAGGTTATAAAAGTTACAACCTTTAGTTTATAAAGGAGGTCTAGTTTTCTTTCAGGGCTTAGTTTGGATCCAGCTGCCCCATAGGCTGAGGGAATGGCTAAATGGGAATTGTAGAGGAATAAAAACATCTCCAGATGAATGAGGTACCATAGAACATATGTTTACCACAGATTAAATACAGCCTCTAGATGAAAATTTTAGTTATTTATGTCTATCAGAATCTTTCTTTTTTTGTCTACCTTTAATTACACTAATAGAATGAAGAGGGTCATTCTTAATCACATATTAAGACAAAAGAAAACTGCAAGGACAAATGACGCAAAGTAGACTGAGACAGATTTTCTTGGAATTAGGAAAAAACACTCCATCTCCCTACAAATGTTTTGCAGAATTGTCCAGTTCCTAAAGAATATTATCAGAACTGTGCTGGGAGTAATATCAGCGAGGTATGTTCAGTACCCAGGCTCTATAATTCTTCATACTGTGAATTGTAGGCATTTTTCTGCTTTTTGGTGTTATGTTTGGCACAAGATTTATTAGTTTCCTGTCTCCTACACGTCCCCTTATTCCAGAGGGATTTAGGATGGTCCCTCTTCCTACCCCCAGTCCCTGCCACAATTCAGGTCAACCTGCTGGTCTGGAGCACGAAGTTGCTCAGCTGGAGAAAAAGTGTAGAGATGCCCCACAGCTTGGTAGATAACTCCCAAAGCAGCATTTAGAGGTATCTATCCCGTTTGCTAGTTTTGCTAGTAGCAGCCATGCTTCACAATCCAGTAGGGAAACTATTAATTCAGCTGTTGTCCTGCCATCTCAAGCACAAAGGCCTGGGAGGTAGATGGAAAGTTGCTCTGCATCTGATTTCCCTAAGCTTTTGCTCTGTCCTAGCAACTATGGGATTTTTCCTAACCCCTTTCCCTTTAGCAACAGGCCAAGAACCTGTTTCTCTGCCACCACACTCTGATAAAAATCTCACCACTTACCTTCTAATCAGTCCTGGTGCACAGATTTATCAGGATGGGATCTCACGGGAGCTGCTCCCAGCTCCTGTTGAGGTTGTGTAGGCAGCACAGAGCAGGCTGCCTCACACCACAGCAGGTTATCATTGATCTTAACTTTGTACAAGCCGCTGCTTTGCAGAGGCATGGTCTCTCCCCATCCCCTGAGTGATGCCATCTTGCCTCATGAGGAGCAGTAACTCAGGGCTTCCACCGAATTCTTGCCACTTGGAGCAAGGGAACTCATACAAGGCAGCAATCTCCAAGTCCCCCTGAGTCAGAAGCACAGCTCCCCATGCACCAACCCAATCCTACAAACAGCTACAAACCTGTAAAGCACCTCTGTGTAAGGTGGGCCAAGTCTGGACCAACAGGTGAGAAAGCCAGAGAGATGTCAGGGGTGGGGAGCTCGTTTATTGATTTGGAGCTTGCATTACCTTTGCAGTGTGCAAAAGAGACTTCCAGGATCTCTGTAGAAATGAGCAGTGTACATTCAGAAGCCTCATCTTCCTAGGGGTGGGGACTCACCTCTGCTTGCAAAAAATATATCCAGGATCACTATGCAATGGCATGAAAGCTGTTCAGTGAGATTGAAGCTGTCATAGTTAGTGCCTCCTTGAGGCAGCAAATGATTTGCTACAGAGTTTAGGCCCTGTGTTCCACTGTAATTAGAGTAGGTGATCTACAGACCCACAACAGCAAACAATTGTTTAGGTATCTCTTGAAAACAGGTTTTACCCAAATAGGCACATAAAAAGAGAATTGTGATTTCCATATGAGAAAAGTTGCACTCATTTAACAGCTCTAAGACATATTTTACTGGTATCTGCTATGTTAGTAAAAGTGACTGAAGGTGTTTGTTGTTTTTAAGAGATTTATAGAACAATACAAGAGACTGGGGTAATTCCTTAAGTGATATTCTTAAATTACATTGTATATTTTATTGATCATCCACAGCTGATCAATTATTAATGAATGGCATTTTTTCACAGACAATTCTTTGACAGTTCATGCTATGCCTAATGTCACTGTCTCTTAAAGTTTTTTGCTGACCTTATGGAGTGCAAAGAGGCACTTACAGTAAGAGCTACATCAGAATAAGTCTATTGTTTCAGGGATTATTCTCTTCTCTTTTGTCGATGATTTCTTAAGACATCCTAGGCAAAGAGTTGAAACATGTGAGAAAGAACAGGTTGACTGAGGATAAACAACAGCCTTGGCAGCAAAGAGTGATGTAAGGAGGAAAGGACTCTGTAAGGACCAGCTGAGGTGAGTAGTGGAGAAGACAGAGTAGAATGACAAGAGTTGTTGCCTACTGTGTTAAAGGTTTCGGTGAGTAATCCAGAACTGAAAGCAGAACAAAACTCCTTGGCAGAGAGGATTCACTTTTAACAATAACAACATACTTAAGAAAAAGTTATCTGCCGTGGAAAATTTGGAGAATGTTTTAATAAGTTGAATTGTTGTGGTGGTTTGACCTTGGTTGGATGACAAGTGCCTATTAAAGTCATTCCATCACTCCTTTCCTCAACTGGAAAATGCAGAGAAAATAAAATGAAAGGTTCATGGGTCGAGATAAGGATAGGCAGGGATCACAAACTGATTATTGTCACAGGCAAAATAGACTCGACTTGGAGAAATTAGTTGAATTTATTACCAATCAAAAGCAGAGCAGGATAATGAGAAGTAAAACAAATCTTAAAAACACCTTTTCCCCAGCTCAGAGAGAAGGGCAATAAGGCTCATGGTCAGTTCATCACATGGTTCTGCTGTTGACTCTTCTTCAGGGAGTCTTCCCCCTGCTCCAGTCTGGGGCTCCTCACAAAGAAGACAGTACTCCATGAACTTCTCCAGTGTGAGTCCATCCCATGGAAGACAGTTTTTTATAAACTGCTCCATTGTGGGTCCCTTCCACAGGATTCAGTCCTTCAGGCACAGGCTGCTCCAGCACGGGTCCCCATGGGGTCACAAGTCCAGGCATCAAACCTGCTCATGGGTCTACAGGTCCTGCCAGGAGTGTGCTCCAGTGTGGGCTTCCCATGGGGTCACAGCCTCCTTCTGGACACCCACCTGCCCCCGAGTGGGCCTCCTCTATGGGCTGTAGGTGGATCTCAGCTCTCCCCTGGACCTCCATGGGCTGCACAGTGACAGCCTGCTCACCATGGTCTGCACCACAGCCTGCAGGTGGATCTTTGCTTTGGCACCTCCTCCCCTCATTCTTCACTGACCTTGGTGTCTGGACTGTGGTTTCTCACTCTGCACTCCTCTGAACTCAATTACTTCTGCGAAATAACTTTATTCCCTTCTCAAATATGTTACCACAGAGGTGTTACTGTCATTCCTGACTGGCTCAGCCTTCAGCAGCAGCAGATCCATCTTGGAGCTGGCTGGCAGTCACTCTGTCAGATATGGGGGAAACTTTTGGCAGCTTGAAGTCACCCCCATAGGCCCCCACAGGCCCCCTCTACCAAAACCTTGCCGTGCAAACCCAATACAATTATTCAGCTGGGGAACATGTTACATTTAAAAAGTGGCAGTTAATGGCGATGTTTAATTAATTAATTCATTCATTCATTAAATTTAATTAATATTTTCTTATTAATTCAATAAGGAAATTTCTCATTTACTTCTGAATATCCCTCAATCAGAGACTAGTTAGCAGCACTACCTAGCCCAAAACTGCAAACACTCTAGCCATTATAACCCATACCCAATATCAGTATGCCAAATAACACAGTGATTACTTCTTTGTAGGATCAACAATTTTCCCCATGAAAAATGCGGTGCTGGTTTGTTTGTCAGAGATCAAAATAAGGAAGGGCCTGTTGAATTTGATGGTTTCAGAAGAAGAGGAAAATCTGGTAGAGATTATGGCAGTGCCTCCTGCAGCTTCACTGCCAGCCTCATCAACTTCCAGCAAGGCCTTGTGAACTGCCTGCACAGAAAAGGAAAAAAACACTGAGGTTCATACATGGGACAGGAAGAAGGAGTAAAATAAATTTTCTTCTTATGGAAAATTTAGGAGAAGAAAGGAAAAATAAATCCAGTGGATGAAACTTTACTGTATTGTAAATCTCCAACAGTTTGAAACTGGAGTGTTTTCTATGCCAGGACTGAGCAAGGAGGGCCACAGATTACCATGGACACACTGAAATGCATTTCCACCAATGCTGAGTAGAATGGGATAAAAATACCCCACATATAAGCTAGTTTATTTTCTTAGATGGTTTGGGCTTAGACTAGCAACACTTTCTCTTATTTCAACGTTAACTGAAAACTTCTATTTATAAGCTAATATAGGGCAGTATTTGGCATCTTTAGCATTAAATCATAGCTCAAACTGACATTGTCAAATTCTGCTACTGCAAACTGGAGATTTCCCGAAAACTTTGGGAATATTAAAAATTGAGATAGTAATCAACACAAATATCACAATGAACTCATTTCTAGTTTACTTGACACAACTTCATGTAAGCTATTATATTCCAGCGCCAAGAAGTTATTTAAAATGTTGCCCAATTTTTCTATGTATTTAATATCCAGCTTTTTAATAGCAGCATTAGAGTAACACAAATGTGAGCTGGGAGATTCTTTCTGTAAAAAAACACAATTACTGAGCTAGCCCCTACGTGTCTTTGTGAGTTTTACTTAGAACTTCAGTAATACAAAGAGTGAAATAATGTCTTTGAAAATCCCAGACACAGCTGATCAAAACAACCAACCACCATCCCATCACCAGCTCTGTCTACTTACCTGTGAAACCTGGAGATCATGATTGCTGCTAATTCCAGACAGATCAGCATTACCTGAGAACAATTCAGTAATTCCCATCTGCTCAAACACGGTTTTAACATCATAAGACCCACTAATAGAAAACTTTGGTAACTGCAGATTTAATCTCCTGTTGATCAAAGAAAACAAAAGAGCAGTGAGCCCTTGCAGCCTCGTCTCAGCCAGCAGGGTGGATAGTACGCAACTCAGCAACACTTGAAAGCATTCTTTTGATTGCGAATTTGTTTGATGGTAGTCTTTGTATTCCTTGAGCAATTTTGGCATCCTGAGAGATGCAACATCTTCTTGTATCTACATTCTCTGTTAAATTTTGGGAAAAGAAATGTCTTCATTGTCACTCTTTCATTCCAGTGCCACATGCGCAGCTAGTAGAGATTTTTGGCTAAAGGGTTACGGAGAGTAAGCAGACCACAAGTGGGAAGTAAGGGAACTAAAGTAAGGGAAAAGGAGGATAAAATCTAAGACATGGTGAACTAAATGAATCATGTTAACACCGTGAAAGAAGAGGTAAGGAGTCAAAAAGTAGCCAAGCAAGTTTTGAAGCAGCTGTTACAATGCTGTGACCCCTTCTGTCAGGTCACAGAGCCTGCAGTTTCTTGGTGATTATTCTCTGCTCTGACTCATATGGGGAATTGCTTAAAACTTCCCTTTATGAAATCAGGACATTATGTCCAGTAGGAGGTGATCTGAAATTGCCATTTTCTCTTAAAAAGAGTGATGTGTCCCCAAATATAGAAATCCATATACTTAGAGTTACCTGGTCACAAGTTTGCTCTGCCATTTACAAACAGTTTCCTTGGAGAGAGCATCTTCCACTTGCTTCATCTTTCCATCACCAGGCAGAATAAGCAATGCTCGTACAAATCCCTGGTAAGGCAGCTCTACCACCATGCAGGAGAGATCCTGGTCGTAGTAAGCGTTTGAGGTACCATCACGCTGCATCATATTGACTCTAACAGATGCATTTGTGTTCACAAAAAAATCATCCTCATATGTACGCAAGGGATCAAAAGACTTTTCCCAGGCAGCTAATGGGGAAAAAGAGATGTTGTTGCACTCAGACATGAAGATCATAAAAAATGTTTTATCTAAATTAGACCAGCTTTAATGTAGGACACTGAAGGCATATTGATGGGAGAAGAAGCTAACTAAATCACTTCAACCTCCTCCATAACACACAATCAAACATTCTAACTGTGCAGTAAGCTCATCATATTTCATGTGAGCACATCATGTCTTGCTGAAGAACAACCAAAGGCTGATGACCAGTTGAGTCCTTCTTCTACTGTGAGCCTGTGTAATGCCTTTTATGCCATTTAAAAGCAATCACTTAAGCATTCAGTCACCTTCAGGACCTTCTTATGGCTTTTCTGTTAGGCTGTAACCCACACAAGCTCACTGCGCTCAGCCTGGTGTGCAATTCATCAGCAATTAGAGTCCTAATGTTTGAGCAAGGCTCCAGGAGCACAGGCCCTCAAGATGCTATGTCCCAGGTTTTCATGCAGAGCACCTAGTAGATCTACCATAAAACTGGGTTCCCTGTGCAAGGATGTCAGTCCACCAAGTCTGACTGGCTTGTACAGTCAGCATAGAGATCTTGGATACATCTTTAGTCATTATGGCCTCAACCAGTGAGACTATGTGGATCCTTGTCTATGAGGCATCCACTAGAGTGGAACTTTTCTGTCCACAGCTTTCAAGCAAATTGAGTCAAAACCAAGCAATCAGATACTCTGCTTTTGGCCAGATCTAATCTTTACTTGAAAGTAAACTGCACAGTTTATCTCTTTCCTAAATTGTCACTTGGTAATAAGTCATCAGAAGTTCCCTAAAATTTTTATTTTGTATCAAAGCTGTGTATTGAAATATTATGTTAAGTATCTTACCTTTAAAATAAATATAGTTAACAAGAACCAGTACAGTACTTGGATCAAGTTGACCAACTAATTCAGGAATTTTCCCCTTGGTTTTCTCCTCTACATATTTATTGATTTTCTTTGTAGCTTCTTCTGGTTTATGAAAATCAATAGAGTAAATATCTACATCATAAAATTCTGTGACATTTTTTAAAAATGAGTCGTGTGGTTCATACCCATTAGCTGTAAAAAGGGCATTCCTTATATTCAATGTGAAATTAACAACAGGACAGTTCAGTACTGACAAAACTTTGTGAAAACTTTCATGTACATCACGTACGCTAGTCTCAGTCACGTCATCAAAGCCCAGGCCTTCAAGAATCTCAGACAGAGTGGTTGATTTAGCACCAACAGCCAACATGGCAAAGGCAGTGGAGATGCTTATGGGAGAAAAGAAAATATTTTTATCAACTTCTTTTGATGCAGCCTCCTTGTAAAATCTAAATACAAAATCTGCATAGTTAGAGCCTTTCTTGTAACACCTAAATGTTAATAAATTTTCTCTTCCATCCTGCAGATTAGTATTGTTGACTTCATGGCAAATGTCTTCAGGGCAGCAGTGGATTACAGCACAAAGAACAGCAAGGAGTAAACACAGGCACAGGAGACACTTCATCTTCTTTTCAAATTATTCTGCCACAAAATAAACAGTCATTAAATGAGCAGATGATAATGATGTGCTTGGTAGTAAGAAATAATGAATAGTTTGTTAGCATAAATGTAGCATAGTTCAACTGTAAATATCTAATGTACATAACATGCTTAAAGTTCTCATGGACACAATGTCAAATTTATTTAACAAGTTCAAATAGGTTATAGATTAAAATGTCAGGCATAATAAATTCATAATATTCTATGGTAACTGCTCTGAAAAAGTAATACTTTTTTTCACTGGCAATGAAAATATAGAGCTACAGCCCATAATAATCTTTGTTAACAATGACATTTTCTTCCCAAAACACCGTCTCCTGCAGGGAACCTCTAAACGAACAAGTTATTACAAGGTAAGACAGGGTGTAGGTTACAAAGACATCAAATACTCCACAGCATCTGCCCAAAAGCAACTTGATAAATATAAGGAAATGTGAGGCAGCTCAGTACTCACTGGGACTGAGTAAATTCCCTCACATTCCTCAGGGCAGCCCCACATGGACAGGGAGCTGCCATAGACTATCCTGTGCTTGTTAAATTCACACCCCTGTTTTCTCACATGGCCAGGTACTGGCCACAGCTGATAACTGATGGAAGAAGGTAATCTAGCTACATGAACTTCAAGGCAAAAGCCTTGTGCCATGACAACAGTGCACAGACAGGTGGGCACAAGGGCATGTGGCAAGCAGCAGGTTTGCATCAGATAATGAGGTGCATGTTTGGAATGAAGGAATCTTCCTTTTGGGAGAGCTGCAACGAGTGTTTGTAACTTCTTAAGTGGTGGTTTGCCCCTCACCATGGGTTAACCTGCATGGCATGTGGGAAGGACCTGGCTCTAAGAGGAAGAGAGCACTCATCCCATTTGGACATCAAAGGACACAGATTAATTCCCTTGGAGATTACAAGTTTCTTCATTATGCTTGCTCTCCTAAAGCTGACATGATATACTTCACAAGAGCCGCCAGCTCTCCACACGAGCTGGAACAAGTCTCTGGTTTACTGAATTCAGCTCCCTGCAGCTCTGTGGAGGCATCTCATATAAACCCTCTTCAGAACTGAAACGAGCTATCAGTGAAAATATTCAGATCTTCAAAATTTCAAATTCAAATATTCTATGTGAAACATTTCTAGAACTTTTCTACTGTCATGGGTCCTCTTCTGGTTTCCAGCCAATACAGCCTATTTGTAACCTTTTCTATCAGGAATGTACATTCCCATGTCCATGGTAAAGTTCTCTTGGTCCTACCTTCATTCCTAGATGTGACAGATGACTGTATATAGCGCCTAAAGATTTAGAATTTCTGATGGGAGCCCAAGTTCAAGGCTTCTTGGTGATTAACCAGTTGTTTTATTTTTGTATTGATGGTCTTTCTTGTTTTCATAGCAAACATAGAGATAGCTGTGTGTTCTCGTATTTGCTAGGATCTGAGTGTACTGAGCCCAGCCAAGATCAGCCAGGGCCCACTGCACTGGCCACAGTAACAAGTAATAACACTAAATTTGAATTTCCTTAAAACACAAGATGGAGTATGGCCCTAGACAGGAATACAGTTTAACTATTTTCATCTCTTTTAAGCAGAACTCTGCCTTTTTTTCACAACAACAACAACAACAACAACAGAGGCAAAATTGAAACAACCTTTCTGTACTGTGGAAAAAAGAAGAAATAATACAGTATGAAAGGTGTTTCCTACTATATTATTTGATGTTTAACATGTCATAGCCTGTTTTTCTCTAGTTATTTGAGATATTGAACACTTAAGTGAGAAAGAAAAAAATAGTTTTACTTCCTATGTCCATACAGGACTTAGCCTAAATTTTAAAGAATATTGAAGCAAACAGTATGGTTTGGGGTTTTTTTCTGCAGCAAACTTATATTAGGCATGTTTTTAACTTCTGCTGTAACAAATTAGTTAAAAAACTTCTCCTGGTATCATAATTCTCTACAGAAATCTAAAATAAGTACTTCTATCAAAAGCTGGAAAACACTGAATATTATCATCAAGTTTTCCTCACCTACTTTTCCTTTTAAAGATGAAAATCATGTTAATTTCAACTTTTTGAGATTAAAAAAAATTGACACCGATATTTTAGTTAACATTTCAAAGCTAAAAAAATTTTAAAAGCTTTGTTAAGTCTGGAAGTACTTTCTATACAAACTGGAAATTCAGAAAATAATTCTCTTCCAGACCACGTATTAGTTTTTCTATGGGACTAAAAGGAGCAATTAAATTTAAATTTAAATTGTGGCCTTCCACCCACCCCCTACACTTACCCCAGTCCTAATTAGAGAGCCTGGCCTTAGCAGTTCAATTGTTGCTTTATAAATTAAGTCACCAGAAGAGCTTTTAAATTGGACCTGGTTGTTCAGTCACTAGTGGGATTATACTAATTTTGAGTCACTGTGAAGGCTGTTTCCAACCTGAAAGGTGATTACATCAGTATTCTCTTTTAACAAGTACTTAATAAGTCCCCATGACTTCAAAGAGTTTTTTAGTTTGATTTCAGTCTAAGCATATTCCCCCAGAACAGCAGGTCCCACTGGTCCCTTGCACATCTGCTTGGTTAATATTTCATTGCAACATCCACACAGAACCAAATCACAAACAGACAAAAGAAATTAACCTAATACTAAAATTCCATCCACTGCAGAAAGCATCATTTCCAACTCTCTAAAAGAAATGCATGTGCAGTACTTACAAAATCAGAAGCCCCGTTGCATTCAGCTGACCATGCTGTTCCCCACACTGTTACTTATACTGCTCCATCATCTTCTGCTTAATTAGAGATGTTAAACATTATACAGACCCGATAAAAATTAGAGCCAACCAAAAGAAAGGAGGGAACAAAGCAAATATTGATGAAACAGGGTTTGCAAGGATCATCTCTGTTATTCAGCCAAAGAAGCTGACAATCTTCAGCCATTTCAACAGTAGCTGTAACATCCTCTCTGTTGCCTCTGACCATGCGGAGGAGCTTGAGTGCAAATGTTGTGTGATTAGGACCCTACTGGAAACCAGGAGGTTGTGCCTGGAATCACTAGAAACAGGAGCTAACTCTTGGTGCCAGAAGTCAGACTTTCTGTGTGGTGATGAAGCACACATGGAGCTGACAGCCACGTATCACAGCCGCTCTTCCAAAATCTATCCAGAGACAAATCTTCTGCATGATCCTCAGCCTGTATATGGACGACAAAGTAATTGCCTGTACCTTCTCACTCAGTAGATTAGTACCACTGTGGGGGTATGTGATAAACACGTTTCCATGAGAGGTTTCCCACCCTGGCTGATGTGGTCCCTTCATCTGTCTCAGTTCTGTGTGCATCTCAGTTACTGCCTTGGGCAGGTGGTGGGAATGCAAGTAGCAGGCTGTTTACTCCCACATGTTGGCATACTTCATGTGCGCACCCATTCTCATTCTCCTTGCCCTCTCACACACTTTTAAATTGTTCAAATGAAAACAAGTGCTGTTTGTTCCTATTAACTTTTCCCAACAGGAATGAAATGCTGATGGATCAAGATGACTGAATTTTTCCAGTTAACAACAAAGACCGTGATTGAGTGGTGACATAAATTATATTTCCCCACTTGTGATGACTCTTTTCTTTGTACTTGTTTACTCACATATGTAATTTTGTTGTTACAAACATAGATAAACATGGAGACAGAACACAGATACATATTGTCTGGACACTCCCCTTCTTTGTTTTCCTCTATATTTCTTCCCTTCTCCCCCCTCCCCTCTTCCCTTTTTACTTCCTCCTTCTAACTCTGGCTGTAAAGGTCACAAACACAGAGATTATTTTACTCATCAAAGCCCAGGTGAATAACAGGTCATGGTGGTCAAGGACAAACTGTGTTACAAAATGGTTATAAGCCTCTTGTTTTCTCTTTCATTTGCGATGCCTTGTAATTACTGTTTTGTTTTTAATAATGTTAAGCTAAACTTTAACAAGGCATTTCCTTACCATTTCATTATGGCAGCAGAAATAAGGTACTCCAGCAGCTTGAAACCAAAACGATGAGCAGACAGACGCACGCGTGCCAGGTGTACCACGCACTGCCACGAGCTATTGCAGTCCCACCTCCCTGCTGACCACAGTTTCAACTCTAACTCATGAACCCATTTTAACCAGCTTCATACAGATCATTTATCTATTGAACTAGATCTTTTGCTCTACTGTTTTTAGTTTTTTTTTTTTATAGGAATAAAAGTACAGGACAAGGAATTACCGAAACAGATGTGTTTTATTCCTTCTGATAATTAAAACCACGACAAAGTTTGCATTGCCTGAGTCCATGTTACTGCTGTATAGTTCATGTAGGTCAGTTTCTATACCACACCCCAGCTCACATTTTGACATCTTTAGATGAAATAGAGCCATATATTCATTTCATGTATTTGCTAATACCTTGCAAACATCTTCCTGACAGTTTGTTTTGTGTTGAATAGAACATTTCAAAGCTGGTTTAAAGAGTTCTTAATTAACCATTGACTGGTATGTTCAATGGCAAGAGAGCCACTCAACTTGTCCAGTGCTCTTGTTATGCTTCTGCACCTTAGGTAGGGAAATTAGAGTTTTTGTGTCAATTTGACAACAATAAAACTCTTCTGGGATAATGGCTGACATATACACAAGTTATAAACCTATTATGTCATAATTTACACAAAGATGTTTTAGTGTAAAGAATATAGACCACAAGCATATTGACAGAGCAGCAATATGAAGGAAATGGAGTATGGAATTAGGAAGAAAAGGGACATTGCCCTCCCCTCCATTTCCTTGCTGATAGCCTTGAGTTATGTAATAGTCTTTGGGAAGGATCAGGCTCTCAGAGTGCAGGAAAACTGCTAGGATTGTAAGCATGCCTGGTGAACTATGTTTTTTCAAGTTTGGATGAGTTATATAATGAACAATAAAGGCATAATCTGCTCATAGTGGTCATGCCATGCTCTCAATACATCTTGGAGAATCTCCTCTATTGTACTGTCAGAAAGACAAAATTCAGTAGTTTAGGAAGGAACAGTGAAATTGGGATGAAATATAGCCTATATTTAGTGAAGAAAACTTGCACAAGGAAGGGTAAGTTCAGCTCACAGAACTTTTTTTCGTTTGAATTAGCATCATTCATATGAATGAAACAGAGAACAGGAATGAGAGTTTAAAAAAAAATACCAATGGTAATGACCGATAGTGAACACTTATAATAATTTTTCAGTTGGAAAACCAATTTCAGTTGCAAATTATACACTAAATGTAGCAGGTGTCTTACATGTATGGTGCACCAATAACAACTGAACAACTGAACCCCTATTGCTGCTTCAGTGCAGCCTGCTGTGCAGGCTGGCAAGTGTGACACAGGAACCACAGCCTCCTGTAGAAGGGGAAAGAAAGTAGGCTGCTTGCTCTAATGTTAGAAACCTTTATTTAGGCCCCAGAATCTTTCAAAAGAAGATTTTTCATTAATTCTACATATAACAGCTTCACCATAGATTTTCTATTCAGACCTAAATATTTCTGTAAAATTATATTCTGTAAGATTAGTAATGAAAGAGCTACCAAGATTTTAATATCTGGGTGGTTTCCACCTAGGATGTTGTGAAAGAATAGTATGTATTCTGTTTTCTTTTCTTCCTAACGACCAAAATAGATGACAAAATAATCTTATTGACCATAAAGATCTCAAGTAATATCTTTCATTGGCGGAGTACTGTTCAGGATACTGGGATGATTTCAGATTGGGATGGAACAGCTGATGAGAGAACCGCTGCACTGAAAATTCAGGATAGATGTCTATCTATCTCTGTTGAGCAGATTAGTTTGGGCCTTGGGAACATCAGTAATACTAATAGGCTTCAGTTTTCTCATCTGTAAGATAAAAATGATACAACTAACTTCCTCACTGAGATTAGATGATGTGAAAAACAAAAAAAATTTTAAAGGTCTTGAGCACTCTCTTAGTTCTTTATTGAGTTTAATGAAGTCAGGATAATTTTTCAGTTTTATTCCATGACATCTCCCTTGGTAACAGTGATACACAATTTGAAAATCTGTGATCAGCAATTTTATCCAGCTTCAAAGTGAAATTTGAAACTTTCCTCAATTGCAAGCTTCCATAAAAAGTCCTCTGAACTTTGCAGAACGTGTCTTCCTTCCTGCCCGGTATGCTTAGCACTTGTATTCAAGGGCTGGTAGTTGTACATTACAGCCTGGGGACAGGTGATTAAGCACACCCAAGTATTGCAAGTATTAATAACCTGTGTGCATCACATGACACTGCACAAGCCATGTTTTTACCAGACATTTTTCTTTCATGTCTAGAAAATGCAAATATCTGTTGCCGGCACCTGCAGAATAAGAATCTTATACAGGAAAATAGAGAAGGATAAGATTATTGTGCTCACTGAATTGTCTTTTTCTTCTTCCAGTTTGACTCAAGCATCATGCCAGCAGGGATTGTTTCACCTGAACATCTATTGCCCATCCAGTATTGTGCTTTTAAAATCATATTATTTACCTATGGTAAGGCATCTAACTCCTGATTAATTTAGTAAGGCTCTGACTATGTAAGCTAAGAGAGGAAGGATGGTCAGTCTCAGTGGGTAGCTGTAAGCAGCCAAGAAGCTAAGTTTCTGCAATGTGAACCTGTGACTGAGCTGGGAAGGGAAGCAGAAACTCCCAAGTCCCAACCCAATGCTTTGTAACTACTGGTCTTTCCTTCTTTCCTAATAATGTTCTTGCGTTAAAGAAAGAAAGGAATTAATCAATTAATTATGGGTTTCTAACAGCAATATAGTACTTAAAATTTTAATAAATGTGTGTCTATACAACATGAAAATATAGTTAACAAGAACCATCCCAATGAGTAATTCAAGACTTAAGCAACTAACATTATTCTACAAGCCTTCATTAAAAAGTTCTTCACCTTCCCATTTGGTCCACTGATCCTGCTATCTGGGACCATCTCATCTGAATCCTGTGTACTCCTGAGTGATACTGAATTAGTGTCTACCTTTAATCATGCAGCTGATCAAGTAAAGTTGGTCAAAGTAGATTGAAGTAAACAGTAATGACATTACTCTGTGACTCAAACTCAGCTGTCCAAGCACACCATATAGATATTGGCTAATGCTCAAAGAAAGGGCACTGAAAGTGGTCTTGCAAGCCACAGAGTCAATTTACCTTGTTTATTACACCTTGTCAGTCTCCCTCAGACTCATACAGAACTGTTGAAAATGAGGGTACAAACACAAGAATGCACCAGGGAACAAGTGCATAAGGGAGACAAGTTTCAATTTTATTTTTAATGGATATGGAGTAGATTAAATTTTACTGTGGCCACTGCTTTTAACCATGGGAGAAGATTTAGACCAACACTTCATAGCTTTTAAAAATCCTACTCTAGATCCATATGCAGACAAATTTAAAAAAGCCGTTTTTCTATGTAATCTACCATTACACAAGCATTTCAAATCTGTTACTTTTAACAGCAAAACTATTGGAACTGTGACAAAACTTCCCTAATCCAAACTTGACGATACCCTGCCTAGTGTTGTCTCCTGCATACTGGTATCTCCTCTGACATTCTTTTCTTGTCTTCCCTCACTCCATATACAGTCACTTGCAGACCACTCTCATCTTGGCACACCATTCTCCTACCTCTGCTTCCTCCATTAGCTTGGAGACTGATAGCAAATAGAGGCTGTTGAAGAATTATAGAGGAAGGCATTCCCAAAGGAGTCACATCAAGACCTTTCCTTGAAACTTAACCTCTGGGGATGAGGGGAAGCCCAGACTGATTTTCACAGAATACCTGGGTGTCCTCTTGCATAGAGTAGCACAGAATTATAGCACTTCTAGGGCTGGGGTCAGCAAGAATGGGACTCAGCTGTAGAGAGCAAAAAGGTTAATCAGGTCACAAGAGCTTCTAGGTGATGATGTCCTGCTCTTAGGTTCATTGATCAGCCAGTGAGAGTATTTTATTTTTCTTGATGATGCAATGCTTTTAAATTAATGCCTTTGGTAGAACTTAGGTGGGTGGGGATTATGAAAACCAGTTTGAACCGGTCCCTGGCCTTTGTGAATGCTCCGACTCTCATACTAATGATGATTGAATTAATCTCTTAACAAACACGTTTGTTTTTCTAATTCGCCTCCACACACTTAATTACTATAGCTCCAAACCCAACACCCAAATATTACAGCAGAGATGGCACTTAGTCTTCCCTGATCTCCGGAAATCTCTGAATTATTGGGATCCTTCCTGAAGTAATTTCTGGAGCACTGGGAATAGGGTCTTCTCACCAAAAACAGAA